GGGTGATACTTAGACCCTTCACCCTCAAGGGCCATGGGTCAATAGCCCATTCGGCTTCACCTCATGGGCTATTGAGTTAATTATTAATGACACATGAATAATAAGGGTTAAGAGACAAAGGAATTTCATTTTAACCTGAATTTCAGTTGACCTACAACATATACACTGTGCTTTAGTGGAGAAAGGCAATGCGAGAGAAAAGTGACTTGTGCAAGAAAAAGAATATTGCATGACCCTGTGAGGGCTTAAACCTGGATTGCTACATTGATTTGAAGTCCATTGGATTAACTTATACTATAATTACAGCACATGTAAGTGTTATTTATTCGCAGGACTTCTGTTCGCAAAATGTTGTACCAGGAAACATAGGGTTCAACTGTAATATGATGGTCTTGATGGAGTGCTGGAATCTTAGTTTTCAGTTCAATTCTTGGACTTTTTCCAGCTGTCAGTTTAAATTACACCCCATTTCTCAGCTGTCATTAAATTTTGTAGATCTCAGTTTTCAGTGATTAGTTAGAAATTTGACCAATTCTCAGTTTTCAGGTAATCCCCATATAGACCATCTAACATTGATGTATTATAGATTTGTGGGGTTTTTTTTCAGCACACTCTAACAGGTCACTCACAAAAAGTAATGTCTGTAAAATTCTTTGGAGCAGCAACAAAAGTAGTTTCTGGAGGTCATGACAGGACTTTAAAAATCTGGGATCTCAGAAGCAGAGTGTGTAAGTACTCTACAATAACTAATACATTTTCCTTCACTCGGGCTTGTCTCTTTTAGGTAAAATGCCTTAAAAATTCTGATAATCCCCCCCTCCCTCCACCCCTAAAATAACCCCAAATTTCAGACTAAGGTGAAAATCCTTCTGTAAATGAGCCAAAGGCATTTAAAGAAAGGTATATTGACCTGTTTGGATTATACGCTCCTAATTATGAAATGAAGGCTACCATCTCTACTACCATAAACTTCCAAAAGTAATGACCCTCTGAAAGTAGCAACCCCAGAAAAAAAACATCAAAAAATTGTGTCCCTAAAGGTCTAATAAGTCCTGAAAGGAAGGATCCCCAGAAATAGCTGGCAGTTTAGTTGGGGTAGAGTGCGTGAGCAAGCAACAAAACCACGAGGGGCCCAGTGTTTTATTTTTTTCCAAGGTCGCTTGCAGCTTTGCAGCTTGTTTTGCAGATCACACTCTATATGGTCCTCTATCCCAACCAACTAAACCGCCAGCCATGCAGGCTACCAAAAGTACATGTAGCAAGCCCAACACCCCCACCCCTCCCCCCCCCAAAAAAATACCAACCATTTTTATATAACATTTTTGCTCCCCAAAGGTATTGACCCCGCAGAGGCTACTAGTTTGAAATTTATTTCAAGGGTCAGCACTTTCATAAGCTAATGGTATAAATTAAAATGCTTTGTTAAATTCTCTTTATAAATTTATTTTAGGTACGCGGACAATATTTGCGGGATCCAGCTGTAATGATATTGTAATCAATGAGGGCATGGGGTAAGAAATAAACAAAACCAAATTATACATCTACCTTCTAACTCTGTCAGTCTCACTAGTTATCCACCAATCTATAAGACTTAGTGAAGTATTTTTTCAGTTATTAGTAATGACAGCAAAGTGAATAAAAACTTACAGTGTTATAAAATTGAGCATGGTGACTTTGCAGCAGTTTCACCATTGAATCCTTTTTTTGATGTTGGATTGCATGCAATAGTTACTGTAACAAGGGTAAAAGGTAAGGCTGTTTAGCTTTACTAGTCAAACAATCTTTGCTTTTTTATACATTCTGGTCTGTCTTAGCTTTCTCCTCACACCCCTCTTAAAAATGATTTATTGTGCAATTATATTTACTGCTTGAGATAAGGGCAGAATTTGGTACTAACTACATACTGCCTAACACTTTTCACAAACAGTGTGGGCCTGTCTGTCTACCTTACTTTACTGTGCAATTAGCAAACAGAAAGTTAGTAAAAGTATGTTTTTGTTTTGTTTTGTTTTATTTTATTTCTTATTTTTTTTACCCACATTTAGATCACAGGTGGCTAGTGGGCATTTAGACAAGACTGTTAGATTCTGGGATGTAAGGTTAGAAAATAAGCTATAAGAATCAATAATGTTATAAATAATTATTTCAAATCAATTATCATTTAATGTACTAGTACAAAAATAATTAATAAGACATTGTTATGTATGGCAAAATAAATTGAACTTAACCACTTATAGCCATAGTGCAACTTTGATCCTTCATGTTATTACTTAACAGTACAAAATTTAAATGCTTGCATTGACTAAGAGAGGGTTCTTGGTTTCTATATATGTAAATCCAATCTGTAGATAAAACATGGAGACTACGGGCCTAAGTTTTCTATGAGCAAATAAAGTGTGTGCATTGTCACGTAATAAAAAATAAAATCAAAAACCATTCAGTGGATAAAGTCAAGAAATTGTGATATTATAGACGATAAATAAAGAAGACAGTTCTCCAAGTTTAAGGTGTGTGCGTTGTCCCAAAGTTGAGATATTCGTTGAAATGTTCTGCACAAAATTATAGTGCCTAGTATGAGCTGCCATGTTGGAGGACCTCCTTAGTCCTCCAATATGGCAGCCGGAAAATAGTGTAAACATCTGGAACTTACTTTGGCTATCTAGACAACGGATTATCTGAACCGAACCAAAAAAAATTTACACTGCAAGCACTTTTCTTAATACTTTAACTCCTAAAGGGGCTGAAAATCGTGAGATAAGTGTATATTTTTTGACAAACATGATCTTAGCTTTATGTTACACACCGCCATAACTCTGAAATTCAAAATGCATTGGTTTCCAAACAAAGGACACTATTGAGCTGCAAAGTTGTAAACAGATATAAATTTAGTACCTCTTATGCCCGATGAGGATAAAGCCTTTAGTGGCTCTTTAGTTTTGAATTTGAGAATTTTATGACGTCACGTGAACACACTCTATAGTCAAAGAGGCATCGCTGAGTTGACTGTCACTCACAGAAAACAAGGGTGAGTAGTCTATAGTAACTGTTTTTAGTGGACATTTTAGTAGAATTTTGTGTATTTCTAAGCCTAAAATGTAAAAGAAAGTTATTTTTAGTTTCAAGAGCAGTGTGTGGACGATCATTGTCTATTGATCAGTGAATAGAAAACCATAAAAACAACAATCGTTTTCACAGAATTTCAATAGATCACAGCTGTGTGGCTACTAAAACTGTATTTGTTGTGGTGCAGTGTTAACCTTGATTTAATTTAAACTTTTCATTTGGCTGCACTGCAATATGTGAGTGCTTTTTAATGCATTTTTCCCTTTAATCAATTAACTAAATAATATTTTTTGTTAGGCAAAGTAGAATTGAATCAATATTGCATTATATTATTTCAATTGACAATAATATCATCTTGAATTTACAATTAAAAAGATGTTTGCAAGAACAAAGATCATCTGCAGTCTGCTCCGTAAGTTATAAATGATTGATGATCCTTATGTCTTGCCAGTTATATATGGTGATCAAGATTCAAATAACATTTAATTTTTGTGACAGCAAGCTTGTCAAATGTACTTTAAAAAAACATTATTTTACAGTTGAATACAAAGTGAAGTATAGAATGACAGAATATAAAATTAACAGCTGGCAGCATGGTGTTATCTTGCAGGTTCTTTCCTTTTCACATTGAAAAGTCATAGACAGCATTTTGAATTATATTTTATGATGTCTAATTGAGTTACTTTTATATGTGAAGCCTTCTTGCAAAGTGCTTGCCCATTCCCAAAGGATCTCCATTATTGGATTCTTCACAAAGAAAACTGTAGGTCAAAAGGAAACAGTCATAATTATCTTGCTCAAAGTTCTAAAACAACTTTCTAAAGAAATTTTTCAATCTTCATGCTTGTTTAGTGTGAAATGAAAAATTATTAATGATCTCAAAATGAAAAATGACAATGGTGAGAATAATCTCCTCCACTGCCTGGCATGTAACAGCTAGCCTTACTGATGTATGTGTAACTGAGTTGATGAATTGCTTCCAGACTAGGCATTGAGCAGACTGTTTCAGCTCCATGGGCTCACAGTCAAACAACTTGTCAAAACAGATGACACACTTCGGCATTAATTACATGAAACTTCCTATAGATCTTCTAGGAACAGGAAGGAGGAACAAGCGACATGGTTGAAAACTTAGACAGTATCCTGTTTTTCACTTCCATTCCAATTTATGTCCTTGGTTTTGTAGGAAATGTCCTGGTCATCAGGATTGTGCACAAAACGCCACCAATGCACACAACGACAAATTGCCTTTTGGTAAACCTGGCTGTTGCTGATGTTATCACCGTTTTGCTGTGGCCATTATTTTCATCTTATAGTTATGTTAAGGAATATTTCAGTAATGGAGTTGGGAACTTTATTTGCAAATTCACAGCTTTCACTGAAATGTCTATAATGGCTTCATCCTTCACTCTAACTGTGCTCGCAGTGGAAAGATATCATGCTTTATTAAAACCCTTAACAATAAAGTTACGGTTAACTGAAGACAACATCAAACAAGCCATCGCTCTAGTTTGGTTGTCAAGTTTTCTCGTTTGTTTACCAGAGTTCTTCTTACGAGAATGGAAAGAGCCCCTTTTGGCATGTGTTGGTCCGTGGACAATACACATGAATACAGAAAGCGAAGTTTACTTCTTCATAAACTCATTATTCAGTGCTTATTTTCCACTCGCTGTTATGAGTTATTGCTATGGATCCTTAATTAGAGGTCTGTACTTTACCGGTGTAATTTGCTCGGAGTCAGTGGCAAATGCAGAAAGCAACACGGAGAAAAAGAAACTTGTTATCACGTTTATCTCAGCAACTGCTGGATTTTTTGTTTGTTTTGCACCAAGTGTAGTTTTCTTCACAGTTTTAGTACTGAAACCTGCTGAAGAAGCAGATTTGAAGTCAAATTTTGATCTTTCATTACTGCTTGCTTTCCTGTTCTTATTCAGTCCGTGTTTTAATCCAGTGTTATATGCTTTCCGAAGTAGCAACTTTCAAGCTGGGTTTAAAAGAATCATATTCAGTCTCAGACCTACATGTATAACACCCCAAAATAACGATGTTGAGCTGGAATGATTTTACTCTTGAACTGTAATGTAGTTCTTCAATATTGCTTTGAAAAATGTGATACAGTGTAATAATATTATTATTCTTTGAATCAAAATAACATTGCGGTTAAAATTGTTATAATTTGAAAATACTTTGAGTGTGTGAGTTAATATTTTGGCATTTGAAAAATCGAATAGATCGCAAAAACTTTAAAAACACAATTTGTAGTGAGCAAAACATTAATTAAAGAGTAGAATAACTTGGCATTCTTCTTAAGTATTCTATTCATATTTATCTAGCTGTTAATTCCTGAATGCTATAAAATGAAAATGTGGGGTGGCAGTGGCATGATGGTTAGTTTGCTTAATTGTCTCCTGATCAAGCGGTCCAGGTTTGAGCCCTGGCCAAGGACATTGTGTTGTGTTCTTGGGCAAGACACCTAACTCTCACAGTGCCTCTCTCCATCCAGGTGTATAAATTGGGGGGTTGGGGGGGAGGTGTGGAAACCTGCAATGAACTAGCATCCTATTAAGGGATGAGTAGAAATACTCCTAGTTGCTTTGTGCTACTCGAAACTGGAGATAGGTGCCAGCCTGATGGGCCACTTGGCTCATAATATTATTATGCAGACTTAACCTTTTTTTTTACCTTACCTATAAATAAAAAAAAAACAGTTTTGAACTCCCTGAAACCAACGCATCACAAGTTAGACATCTCTATAAGGCAGATATAGTTGGCCTACTGGTGCTTTGGCCTAATTTTGCTTGGTCGTCTTAACTAAACTTTCATTAAGGCAGTCACACCTAGCTTTAGGTTTTGAAGATGTCTGCCTTAAAGTGAATGTAATGTAAGTTGATTTGGTCCAAAATAGGCTAAGATAGAGTTTTGAAAACTGCACAGCACACATTCCTACCCACCCAGGCAACCCAATCAATGAAGAAAACTCCAAGGGGAAATGCCTCACACCCACCTGCAGGAACCAACAGCAAACCTTGGCATTTTCTTTCTACTTCTCAGTGTCAAACAAAATTGAAATTGTCTTATTTTTCACAGATCAGAGAATCAGTCGAGTGTTGGAGAAATAACACTTCAAGGAAAAATAACATCGTTAGATTTATCTCCAGGTAAATATGTGAGAATAATTTGTTCATTTGGTACTTTGTACTAAGGTGCTGACTTCTTTCCAATTTGAGTTGGAAATTAGAACAAAGCTGTTCTGATATTGATTTGATGGGAAACGTGTATATTTTTAGGTTACTGCAACACTGTTGGAAAAAGGCAGACAGCCAGTGGAACTAACCATCTTCTTTGCGACTCAGCCAGCATCTCTGCTGGCCTATTTGTCCAATTCTTTATATCAGAAAAAGATGGAAAAATCATCTTCCTACTCCAACAATAATGTCACCTACAACAAAACACTTGTGACAACCTTGCACTGCAGCTAGCCCAGTGTATAAGACCAAGATTATGACCTCTGAGCTTCAACTCCACTGGGTCCTTATGTTGTGTTCTAGGGAAAACTATCTTTTAGTAACTCTCACATGACCTCTCAGCCCCAGCTTAACTGAGTGCTGATATTCTTTTAAATTTAAAACAACATATACTGCAAGCAGTCTCTCTTTTCCTCGAAAACTGTGGGGAAGAACGCAAAGCAATCGTGACTGTTAGTGTGACCTGTGAGTGGTGATGTGGTATCACGCTCACATGCTTACTTGTTTTGTGTTCTTCTCCATGGATTTTTGAGGAAAAGAGAGACTGCTCGCAGTCTAAAAACAACATGGCAATTTCAAAATCCTGCAAAATAACTTCAACTCGGTAGCTTAATTCTCTTATGCATCCAGTGGCCAGAGTAGCAACAGTCATTAATTTTGTGAGCTTTAGAGGGTTATTAAAACAGTTTAATGTTTCATTTTTGTAAAAAGTAAGACCACTTCATTTTATTTTTCCCTAATTACAGACATGAACTGCATGTTAGCAAGTGCAAGAGATGACACAGTTAAATTACTTGATTTGAGAATGAACCAGGTCATGTCAACTTGTAGGTGGGTGTGATACATACATTTATTGTTGCCAACAGACATCATCATAATATTCATTGCTATTTACGATGGAGGGGGGGGGGGTGTCCCTTGTGACTTAAGTTGTGGGTAGAGACCTGTGTAAAGGATTTTTGGCAATTTCGGTTTCATCACATTGCGTCTCAGGCACAATTATATATATCTATTTTTTGGTTTGGGTTAAGTTACATTCCAAGAGGTGTACATGTGTGTAAGAGTCATTTCTAGAATCACAGTTTAATTGTGTCTGTTTATTTCCAGTGCTGATGGTTTTAAGGTTGCAATGGATTACACAAGAGCATCCTTCAGGTAACTTTTCAGACCAAGTTTGGCAAACTTGGCTATGAATTCTCCTTCCTGATTGTCTTGTGTTTTATCACATGTTTGTTTTGAAAATTTGGCAATGCATCAAGACAGTACCTCTTAGTTACTGTTATCTTATTTTGCTACCTATCTTTATTGAGAATGTACCTGAAATTGTTAGAAGTAATTAATACTGATCACTCTTGAGAATTAAAGGGTTTTAGGTAGAAATACATTATTCAGCAGTAGAATTAACATAAATTGCTTTGTTGTACTTTAAATGTTGTTCAGTATTAAGCATCAAAAAGCTCCACAAGGGAACATGCAGCAAAGAATGGATGCATTCATCAAGAATGTATGTACCCCAGACTCCCATATGAAAAGGACAGGGGTCCTCGTCGTACCTTTCAGAGGTTAAAAAAGCATTTTTGGTACCAGTCTTAGGGTGTTCAGCGGCTTCAGCCTCAAATGGTCCACAGCAGGAGCTTTTGCAATACCTTTTAGGGTACTGAGCCAAAAAAATATGACTGGAAATAATGTGTTGTCTTAGGATTGGTACCTCTTGGCAGTCTTAGGGGTGAAAAACATTTCAAGCCACGTCCACAAAACAGGATCTTGGTACCTCTAAAGGGATTCTTTTTCAAAATTTTTGACAAGTACCCCTGTTCTTTTTACATGGGAGTCTCCCCCAGGGTATTGCTCCATATTATCGATCCTTGGGTCATTCATACTAAAATAACTAGTCAAGAGTGTTCACTGTTAATTTTTATTGACTTAATAGTTGGGACCCGAAAGGGTAGTGTTCAGTAAGCAACTACCAGCTACTGGTTCATAGTCTAATATTGTTAATTTCTTTTCCAGTCCTGATGGCCAGTATGTGATATGTGGGTCTCATGATGGTAGTATTTTTGTTTGGAATGCAGCAACAGCAAAGCTAGACAAGATTCTTAAAGAACACAGGTAAGCATTTGTTTCAAGTGTCTATCATAAGATGATTATAGTTTAGAATAGAATTTTTAATCAAAAGAGATTTGCTAAAACAAAGACGTGCAAAAATTTCTGGAAGATTTAATACTCATCGTTTCGGTGTCATCGTGACGCTATTACCAAGAGAAAATAAGTACAAGAAAGTGAATTTTTAAGTGGGCTAGAGCTGAAAATTAACATACTAATTAGATGGCTGAGCAAACACTTTAGTACCAATTGAAATTGTTTTTCTTGATAATACATCATGGTGACTCCAAAATGTGGAGTATTGATTTTAATCAATAATCAATATTCTTAAAGATAATTTTTAAAAAATCTTTAAGAATAGAATTTAAAATAGAAAATAGTATCATGATGTTTGACTGTCAAATTATTTATTAATTAAATCATGATACTTATTATATTCGTTACTTTTACAACAGTTCTTCAGTAGTCGTGTGTGCGTGGCACCCTGACGGCTCAAGCATCATCAGCTGTGATCGTAACAAGCATGCAATTATCTGGACAAACAGATACTAATTAAGCATTGGATGATGTGCTCTTCAATCAAAGAAGCAATTGCAAGCAAACACCACTTGTATGCATGGTTACAACAAGAATTATTAGTCATAAATAACAGTCTTATGTAAGTTAAGATGTCTAGTTTAAGATTGCAATCTTTTGGCAATGTAATGTTGTTTTAGATCTAACAGAAAATTAAAATAATTTAAGACAGTTTTTAGAAAAGAAGGGTTTGCATTAGGTATTTTGTTGTAAGAAATTATTTTTTGTGCATATTAGAGAAAATGTCTCTTAAAGTGCAGCCAAAAAATCAATAAATAAATGACACAAGTCTTGATATTTTCTTGAATAAACAACCCCCAGCCAGGTCAATAATAATTTTTGCTCTGTTAATATAATAATATTGAGATGATGTAATTTAAAATGAAAACTTACCCCTTTCTCTAAAAGCAGGCTGAAGAAATTATTTTAGGTTTACTCCAAGTATAATATTATCTCAGAATTGAAATAAGTGCCTGGTTGTTTAATCAAGGAAATATTTTCAGCATTATTCCTGATATATACAGTATTATTATATATGGCAAGGTAGTCTTGATTGGTTCTTTCTTGGTCGGGATTTTGCCATATGGACCGTTCCATTGAAACGGTCGTAAGCTGTGTATTTGTTGTTTTCGAAAGCCAGCAAATTCAAAACAAGCATGGCCCTAGTGCCATATAATAAACTACTTACTAGCCTAGCTTGTTCAAAAGGCAATTGACATTATTCCAGGGTTAAAACTTGATAATTTGAGCTCTAAGTTTCTTATGCATAAGCATGGCCAATGTTGTATGGAACTTGAGATTGGTTGATGTCAAAACTGGAGAACAGAAAATATAAACAGGAAACCTCACTGAACTGTTAGAAAACTGTAATCGAAATTCGCACTTCTGGATTGGCATAATCATCATTGAACAACCAAGCCCAGACCTGAAACATTCAGGATACTCGCAAAAATTTTTACAAGTACAGTGGAACCCTGTTAATCTGGTCACCAACAGGCCGTATTAATGGCCATATTAATTAAAAAGGTTCTTTAGCTAAGAAAATGACTAACTGAGCTTTTGTTCAGGCTGGAAGAAAGTGGCCATAATAACGAGGTGGCCATTTTAATGGGGTGGCCATAAGACAGTGTTTCACTGTATCAGTTATTCAGAATCCTCCAGAACCCAAGGATTGGGTGGGGATGGTAGAGGGGGTACTTCAGGAAAAAACTGACTGGGAGGTGAGGGGGACTTTTTTAACATTGACATATTTTGCAACTATTTTAGAGATTGTTGTAGTACATCCCTAAATTTTCTTTGATAATTTTTGAGAAGTCAAGTTCTTGTGGATTCTATGTAATCATACTTATCATAGAGCCTTAATTGGCATAATTATAATACATAATATTGCAAAAGAACCTTTTTCATTTTGATAGCTTTTAAACATCGGGAACTGTACAATTTACAGTCATTTGAGGGGTGTCCATTTTTGTCTAATAAGCTCCTTTTGGGGTTTTATTTGTTACCTTCCTATCACCTTCTTCTAACAATACCCCCGGAAGCGCAAAATTGTTAATGTAAAGACAAAGGTTAAGAGTGAACGAAAATAGTTTGTTTCTTTTCAAACTTTCAGGAATCAAAGTTTGCCTAGTGAATCTTTAAATCCCAATATCTCCTCACTGGTGTCATGTTTTTGTCACAGTAGTCAAGCTTAGGAGAGTTTTGATTTGCTGCTGTTGCTATTAACAAAGTACTTTCCAGCATATCCTGGTCAAACAGACAGCCTGTTGCCACAAGACAGGGAAAATGTTATGAAGTGCAGTATCTATTTTAGCAGAAGTCTACTTTTCTTGTCAAAGTCAGGGAAATTTAGGACACTGTAGATTTTGATAACTAAGTGCTGTTGATAGAAAATTGTTGTGCAAAAAAAAAAATTCTGCAGAATAAGTTGATAAAAGCATATTTGAAGTATTAGTTGGCCATTTTTTATTTGATCAGTTTTATGGTCAGAGAAAAGTCAGCCAAGGAATTTTGGTTTTTCTCGTGGGTGGCCAAGCTGTTTAGTTAAAATGAAGTAATTTAATCATTATCAAAATCACACTTGTCTAATAGTTTCCATTGTGGGAGCATTTTGAGTAAAATAATAAACCTGGTCATTAGAACACAACGTTTAGGTTAAAAAAACACAAAGCAATTTTTCAAACCATGTTTTTACCAAGCCCTGTGTGTAAAGTTAATGAAATGTTCGTATGGAGAAGCAGTGGAATGAAAATTGAATTGAAATCAGTCAACAAGTCCAAAAATTATTTTATTACCTGGGGTTTTGTGGTGTTGCTATGGTGTTTCATCATGATTTTAATGAGTGGTTTTAGGAGATTTACCCAGTAGAGAGGCTTTTTAAAATAGTTAATTTGGATTTCAATAACTTTTGCAGTTCCAGTTCTCCATGCAAACATGACACTTTGGTCTCTTATGAATGTAGTGTGCTTCAAAAAAGGGAAGTGACTTATGCTTTCTGTTGTTATTAATTTTGCTGCAGTGAGCTGTGCTTGCTATAGATTGCTGCTGTTTATTCTTGTAAGACTCAACCAGCTTGTAACACTTGTAAATACAACTCAAACTTACTTTATACAAGAAACAACATAGCACAGCCTGAGGTAAATAAACTTGTGTTCTTCACAAAATGTCTGAACATTGATTTTATCACTATTCACCAGTTATTGGCCAGTTATTCAAGTCATTTCAGTGTTTTGTATTCTTGGGAACTTTGGCTCATTTCCAGCATGTAAATAAGAGCGCTGTTTTTTATAGGCTCGCAATGCATGCACAGGATAAGCTATGACTAGATGTAATGTTGCCTTTAGTCGAGTCCTGGTCCTGTCTCTGTCACACAATGCTACAAGAGAGTAGCATTCCATGACAGAGACAGGGGCAAATCTTAGATGTCTGTACTATGCCTATGTTACATTATTCA